TTGATGGATCAAAAATTAATATTGTGGATCAAAGATCAAACCATACTATTTTCAACGAATTATTTCTAACTAACAACTGTATTATTATTTACATTACACAATTGGCTTGAATGACGTAATTTGATGTTTTTTCCGTGGGAYATCAATAACTTATGAATTATGATCAATATTCTATTTACTAATACATTAACTTTCCTCTCAAAATGACACATATTTTTAAAAACAATTAAAATTATTTWTTTTAAAGAATTTTGAATACTAAATAAAAATATACTGCACGCTCTTCAAATCCACAAATTACAAAGTAAATTTCCTAAATGACACCACTACTGAGTGTTTACTCTTATTAAGTACTGTACCAACAATAATTTTAAATTATTAAGTAAATTCAAAAAACCATAAATACTCAATACATTCATCATGCTACATAGTATTTTAATAATATATCTAATATCTATAGCCACGACTTTAAATTTTCGACTTTCCATGTGAATAATGTAGGTAGGTATTGTTTAATTTTTTGTTAGCTACATTTCGAATATTTGAAATACATTTATAATATTTATAATTTAGAACATATCTAAAATGCATTCATATAGTAGATAGTTACTAAAACAAAATGCATTAAGAATTTAAATCTTCAAAGTTTATGACATGCCACGCAATCAGTTAAACATATTATTATTTTAAGATCGAATTCAAAATTTAAACAAATGTTTTAAACTCTTTAAATACGAGTAATGTAACTTATAAGTTATAACATTAAATTTTTATCAAACTATTCTAAGTTATTAAAAAATAATAATAATATAATATGTCGGTATCTTAAATTTAATTATTAAACTATTTAAAAAATGTTTAGTCAAAAATGTTTAGTCAAAAATGTTATACCCTGAACCCTTCCCCACCATTATATTTTTTAAACAGCCTCATATAATATTTATGAATGTTTTACCTACTGAATGGTACCAAAGAAGAATTTTTATATTGAATAAAGTTATTTTTTTTTTTTTAGAGTATATTTTGGAGTATTATAAACTTATAAATAACTATTTAGATCTTAATTTGATTAACATTTTATATAAAATGTTGTCATTATTGTGATAGTTGACTAGTTCAATTTCGTAATACTTTTATTTTATTTTGTTAACATTAAGTTAATTATTTTTATTAATAACGCACATTTAAAAAAAAAATTGCGCATAGCAATCGGTGTGTTATGAATTTCGGTACAGTTAATTTACTAAGAMAGAAGAGTTTTTTCCACATAAAGTAGTAAGTGTCAAAGGTTTAAATTGTTTTACCTTGTATTAAATTGGTACAGCTATAACTGCTACAAGTATTGGTTGAAAATGAGGAATGATAAGATACTAAAAAAGTTATAAATATAGCTGRCCAATTCCAAAAACATAAAAATTCATAAAATGTCCTCTTTAATTATTTTGTCCATTTGTATAACTATAAATATTGAATATTGAATACAACTTCAAATATACGTATACTATTATACTTTAATAATATAAACACAAAATGTATTAATTAAATGTCACAAACTGTTTAACCDTGAATCTATATAATCTTATACAATAATAAACAATATATTHCATTAATAAGAGTTAATACAGTGATTTTATTGTATTTATGTGTAAGTAATTGTTTAATGTTTACATTTGGTAGTGGGTATTAGAAACCTATATAATTATAGTAAATAAACGATACTGGGTGAATTTTGTATCAATCAGTGTTGTAGGTACCTGTAGCGGAAAATTCTCAAATTTTTTATGAAAATAAAACAAAATTATGTTCGATTTGAATTTCACAATAGTTTTTGAAGAAAAATGTAAACCACCTGAAGCACCAATTATAAAATGTGGCTCWTAATCAAAATTTGTCATGCCTTTAAGTTTATTGATTCAATATTCTTAATAGAAATGTATGACTAGATCAGCGTWTCTTAAACTTTTTTACRGTGGAACCCTTTTTGATGTCCACTTTTATCGTAGAACCCCTAATTTTTTTTTAGCTTTTTAGCTTTTTTTAGGATTATTTGCAAATAAATTATAATATTAAGTAGAAGTATAAATATAGATTATTGAATATAGAGTTAGCTGATAATTATTATACATTATTATTTAATATGCAAGTATTTTTTTCCATAATGGATATTTTAAAGTAATTTCCTTATTTAAAAAAAATACCTAAGCGAACCTAAGCTTCGCGGAACCTTGAAGTGATCTCCACGGTACTCTAKTTTAAGAAACGCTGGTCTAGATAGACGTAAGACGTAAGACGTAAGTATACATCATATTAATATACAATATGACATATGTAAATTACGTTAATTGAGAACACTCAATATCTTTGTGTATAGGGTCCTGAATTTGAATTCTGTATTTTAGTTGATTTTTATAACATAATAATACAGATTTATATGGTTTTTGAATTTTATAACTTAATTAAACATGCACATGCGCAGTGCAACTGTTTTTTTCCTTATATATCAACTACCTATTTTGACCAATTTTTTTACCTAATTTTGTAATAAATGTTTGTAGTTCAACTAACTTTCGAAGTACAAAATGGGCCAAGTTACAGTAATTTCACAAAAAAAGCTGCAAAATTTGCAAAATTTTCTRTTTTTTTACTTTAACTCTAAAAACAATGATTTTAGGACTGTGTAGGGTTAACATTTTCTCCACTATTCATTAAAAAAATATTCACAGGTTATTATAGTTAAAACTACTATATAATTTTCATTTTGATTGGGACATGAGTTAAAACTTATAGCAGAAAAAAGTAAATTAGTATGTTTATTTCATTACATTTAATGGATTTATTGATTAAATTTTTAATAATTAAAAACAAATTTGATTTTTATTAATAGAGGTATTTTCTTTTTAAGTGTTTTTAACATGTAGTAATTACAGTTGCTATAAGTTGTWACTAGTGGCTCAWAAGTTTTAAACTATTTATTTTGATAAACAAATTAATGATAAAATTATAAAATCGATATATAGGTGGCAGGTGCTATGAATTGCCAAGTAATTATTAGAAATCGTATTTTACTTTAAAATGTTTTAATAATTATAAAGGTAATAAAAATGACAAGTCAGCACCAATTATTATTACTCATAAAATTACTCTCATTTAACACAGCTTGATTATATGAAAAATCTTCGGAAAAATATACTAAAATTTAGAAAAATAGCAAAGTACAAATTATTAAATACCTAACTATGTTATGAATAAAAATAAATTACAAAATAATTTAATAGATACATAACTTTTAATCAAATTACATGTATAAACTAAAAATGTATGTTAATTATWTGTTGCCTAATAAAAGAAAAAACGTAATTTAARCAATTAACGTTTTCAATAACTGTTTAGTAATATTTTCCCTTTGGCATAACAATATATAGCTTTAGATATTTGAACTATAATTCAAAACACTTTAAGTGTGCAATCAACAATTTAGTGATTAGATGCGTCAAGTATAGATAGTTAAATTAAAATGAAATCACAATTATTAAATTTAATTAAATTCTCAAAAGTCAAATTTATCTGAAACAGATTAATATCATCATTTAAGTCGACGTGACAACGTCCATTATAATTTTCTGAAACTGGAATTACCTCTTGTCAATATTAATTTGTCATTTATAATTAATTTCCTTCAATATGATAATGTGGTGTGTAACTAAAATCGATTTGCTAAAGGCTAGCAATTTCATTAAAATGTATACGTAATTAAACGCCCTTTTTGACAGAATCGGTTGGAAATATTTAGCATGCTCGTTAACTATACTCGTACATTTGCCCAGATCAACCAATTGTTCACTATTACGTTATCCGAATACAAAGCAATATTGTGATTAGTAAAAGCATCACAGTGTGGTCCAACCTACAAACAGAACAATTATATACGAATCATATTTTATTATTATTTATTGAGATTTTTATGTGAGCTACTCTTACCTCTCACTGTTTCTATCCCCTTAGGGTTCAAAAATATAATGCCAAAAACCAAAAATCACGCGGAACACGTGTCTAGCACTAACGTTAGACCTATATAATATATTATGATGATAAATATTAAATACGGTTCAAAATTTATGTAATATGCCACACGCGGACGCTATCGCCAATCAATATTTTAGATATGGCTAACTGGGGAAACGCATTATTCCATGATCTCGATCGAACACATAAGATTATTGTCGACGTCGAGAAACGGTTCCTCGCAAACCGATGTCCAACGACTCTCACATAATATTATACTATTTATAGACGTGACACTACTCCACGCGCAGTAGCGCAATTAGTCATTCCACCATAGCCAACTCTTCTCTCTCACACACACACGCACACGCATCACTTGGATCATCAGAAAGACAAAAAACTCGTGTTAGTGTTATATATATATGCACAAATACTACGCATACACGCACACATAATACGTACAACTAAGTCGGGAACCACCTCTGCAATTTAAAAGCGACGAGAAAGAGAGAGAGAGAGGGGGGAGATAGAAACAGGGATGTGATCGCCCAAGAGACAGAGAAAGATCGAATGAAAATAAATGTTTAGAGGAATGGAAGAAATAAAATAAATTAGCTACCGCTGGTTTGGCCCGATGTAAACGAACCCTTCGGTTTGTTCAGTACGGCCGCGACCGTTGACCGGTCCACAGATCATAATATTATCATAATTATTATGACCGAGTCGCTGAGCGGTATAAACCSGGTATCGTCGACACGGCCGTCGCAGGCCCCGTCCGTGATTTGTGCGACTACCAATTTTGCCATTTGTGCCCATTGACATTATTATAATTACGCGTGATACAGTTAATTACGATTCACAACTTAAAGACTACMGCTGCCACCGCCACGTAGTTAACACTACTTCCGGCCCGAGACGCCGCTGACACCTTGTACGTAACTGCAGGCATTGGAGCATCGCTGGTCGTGGTTTCCGGACAATAATTGTGATGGACGGTAAATAAGTGGTGACGTCGTCGCCGAATGCCTGCAGTCGTCTAATCTTTTTTTTTTGCAATCGCAAGCTTTTGTGGTCTGTCTGCTTTTGATTATGAGTTTTGACAAAATAGTGACCCCGTCAAATAYAGAAATAAAAATGTTTACACATTGTCAACATACACACAACGTTAATATGTTTTCACGTCAAAATGTATGTATATAGTTTCCTACCAACATTCAAATCGGAAATATAACAAATTTAGTTAAAATTTAACTTCATAATAATTTTATTGATAGTGAACTGTACCTCGTATGCATAAGTTATAATGCACACCCTTATATTAAATTCAAAAAGATTGTCAAAGTWGACGAAATTACCAAAGTTGATGTATTCACTTGACTCCATAAAAGTAGGTCCTTCATTGTCCATACTCCTGTGGAAGTGATTCATTATTTTGTTCCTCTAAAAACACTTATTATAAGTAATATCTTATTTGTTGTCCTCTTAGATATATTATACTGCTATTATATAGATTCTTCAAGTATTTAATGTAACGTCTATAACTTAACTATTTTTATAATAGTATAATATATAATATTACGATTTATTATGATTTATCATGGAATTTCTTGAAAGTTTATTCCGTGCCTACCCTAAAAATTAATGGGATGAGTAAAATAAAATAGAAAAAAAGTTTTGTAACTAATACGTTTTAAAGTTTCTAAAAAAAAAAWAATAAATAAGTTATTTATTTTTTTTAAAGACTAACTCTTTTAGTTGTTAATCTTTCGACGTCAGTCTCTTAACACATAAATAATTATATTTTAATTGGACATTAATTTAA